GTTCATCATCGGCTATTTTTGGTATTTTTTTATTTTTCTGATTTTTTTTTCATTTTTCAAATTTTTTTCTCTTTTTTTTCTATTTTTTTAATCATATAAGCTAGCACGAAAATAATAAATGAAAAAGAAGAAAAAAAAAACAAACTAAACACAAATAGACAAGAACACCTAAAATCCCCCCCACACTTAGAACAAACATTGTCCGCAATGTAGCAAAAGATATAAAAATGAAGAGAGAAACTTCCCTGAAAAATGTTGGTGATGTAGGGTGCGAAACAGCAATTGACGAACGATGATAATAGCAGCAGAAGCTAGCCAATGATCCAATTGAAGTTAGGTTCGCCCGATTGCAATTTTGGAATTTAGGGTTCCTGGAAAAGAACAGAAAAGGAAAAAAAAAACAAAAATAAAAATAAAAATAAAATATTTTGGGTTTTTTTTTAAAAAAAAAACGAAATAGGGAATGTCATGTTAGACGTGATCACGTCTAAGGCGTCGTTCGAATCTGCCCTGGACAATAAAACAAGCGTTAAAAAAAAATAATAATAAATAAAAATTCAAACACTTACTTTCTTAGGCATAATCACACCTAAAAAAAAATAACACTTGCAAAAATTAATCCAACAAACCTAAAATGCACCTATCCATGATCATGCTTACAAAACACTATTTTTTTTGAAAACATTAAGCACACATTAAAATTCAACTCCAAATCACAAAACTAACTAATGAATCAAACACAACATAAACTTAAACATTTTGGGTTGCCTCCCAAACAGCGCCTTTCTTTATTGTCTTTGGCTAGACCAATTAAACGCGCCTCAAGGTGGAAATTTTGAAACTCCACCTAACAATGGAATATGATAAAACCCTGAGCAAATTTCAATAAAATCAAAGTTAGATGGACTGGATTCAGATTCAAATGCAGATATAGAATCAGCAAAATGAGGTGGAAAATAATCCCCCCTAACAGTTTCTTCAAACACTCCACATCTATCTAGTCTTCCTAAAATTACATCTATCTTTAGTCCTATTTCAGGAGGTCGAGGAAGATGTCCATATGCACAATCTAGAGATATCGGTGGTGGTTTTGACTCTAGTATTGGAGATTTCCATTCATCAATTATATCAGCAATAGAACATGGTAGAGTAAGTATACCTGGATCATTGCATTTGGAAGAAAATTTTGATTGTAACATACCAGATATATCTTCTCCAACTACTACCTCATTCTTAGAAAAGTTCTCCATCACTTTCTGTTTGGGCTCCTCTATCTTTGGCTCTACTGACATATCTGAAAAAGAAGTATCAGCTGCATTAGTTTGACTAAATAAAATGGAAAGATCAATTATCTCATTGTCGTCCAATGCCTCTGATTCATTTTTCTCTACTTCCATATGTTTCAAATCTTCTGCATTTTGAGTATGTACAGTTTCCACACCATAAACCTGTTCTATGAAAGGATATTTCATTCTCTCTAACTCAGCCCTTGAGAATCTGCTCGGAAATGGAGGAAGTATCATGTAACGTGGATCTTCTCTAACAACTTCCTTCACTACCTTCTTCTCGGATGTCGGAGTCACTTCTTTCATGGCACACACACTTTCAACAGGATTAACTGCCGATGGAGATGGTAATTCCACAGGCTTTGAGACTTTGAATTTGCTAATAGCATTAGCTAACTGGCTAATTCGACTCCCCAAATCTTGTATGCTTGCTCTTGTTTCCTGTTCAAATTCAAGAGTATTAGTTGCCAAAGCGTTAACAATCTCATCTAAAGACAAACCTGAGCTTTGAGACTGTGGAGGTTCCGGAACATGATACACTTGTGGCTGAGATGGCTGATACTCATAGTTGAAATTCTGATAATCCTGCCAGCCTGTATCATATGAATATGAACGAGGTTTGTATCTTTCTTGTGGCGGTCTCCAAGATTCTCTCATGGCATTCTGACCCTCCCACTGGTAGTATGGTAATCTTGGACAAAAGTCTCTAGTATGACCAGTCATTAAACAAATACCGCATCTTTGGACTTGTTTCTGTTGACCTATAGCCATATTTTTCACAAGAGACGTTAGTTCAAATAATTGTTGCTCAAGATACAAAGAACTTACCTCATTTTTATTCCAATGGTCATCTCGTCGGTTCCAAGATTGATGTGCATAATAGTCCATTGCAAAAGGAAAAAAAAATAAAAATAAAACTAAAATAAAACAAAACAAAAATTTAAAGAAAACAAATCAATTAACACCATTCCGCGGCAACGGCGCCAATTTGATGGGGTGTCAAGCCACACAAATAAAATAACCTACTTCAAACTACTGTAATATAGGGAAGTAAGGTCGTCTCCTCAGGGAACGATGGATTGTTTCTTTCAAATTAATGCAAAGGAGATTTTTGGATTGTTTTTCTAAACTAAGATAATGAAATACAAATAACGAAAACTAAATAAAAGAAAAGAAATCAAAGTAACAGACTTCTGACTCAAGGAACGGATAACTCAATTATTTCATTAATCATAGGCTACTAAAACTACTCTTGCAATTTAAGCATTCAACCAAAGATCTATTAGGATAGCCGTAATAAATCAATTAATCTCCCTAAATTAACTAACCAAGCCTAGCACTCAATTAATCCTTATCATAATTCGGCTGGGCACGATAGCGTTTCATACCAAACAATGATAGCATAAAAACCAAGGAAATATAGTTGAACCAAAATCTAAACAATTGAGATAGCTACAACTATTCAGACTTTGACTCATTGATTCCACATTTAAACTAACATGCATATTCAATGTCTCACCAATACACATGCTTTGTCTAATTGCTACTCAGTACTTCTAGTTCTTGTCTATTACGTAATATTCAACTAGCAGATAGCACTAGAAAATAAATAACAAATCAAGTTGTCAATTTGAATGATATCTACTTTCATAAATAAAGACAAGAATCAACAAATACTTAAATCATAGGCAAGAACAATAATTAAGAACAAAACCTCATAATGGAATAACTGAATAAATCCCTTGAATCAGAAAAGAAAACTTAGCCACTCATAGTTGGAAGTATGACGGTGCGATTCTCCATGGAAAACAATGAAAATTCGGAAAAACAAGAGGTGGGAGGTGCTAGCCTATGGCTACGCACACGGCTGCCCACAAAACATCACTCAAATTCTTTTTACAATAGAAATTTAGGTCAGCCGCAGGAAAACAGCAATTATTCCACGATTTGCATCTTTGGTCCCTCAAGTTTGTAGTATTTTTACTTTTGCCCCAAAACTTCTTCAATTTTGTATTTCAGTCCTTGGACGTCCAAATTAATCCAAATCAGCTCCAATCTCTTATTTCCAGCTCCTAACATGAAATAATAACAAAACTAATGAATTAAATCCATCCGAGTCCATAAACTAATAAAATATCAACAATTAAAACACAATTTATGGACTCTATCACTTCCCATGAGAACAACAAAGTTGCCGGAAACAAAAGGCCCTTGTTCATACTACTGGAACGAGCTCGTAACTTTGAGCACCAAATACCAAGATTTGACCGCTAACTCGCAGCTTGCTTTCACTGTCTGGGATGTTTCGCGTGAGGCAGTGGTTGGCGGGGCTACCGTTCCTCTTTTCAACACCAAAAAGCAATTGAAGACTGGAAAACACAAGCTCCGGCTTTCGCTGGGAAAACAAGCAGATGGGTCTCTCCGTACATCAACTCCTGGAAAAGTTCCTAAGAAGAACGTGGGGACGTGGCGCACCTAGAAAAACTTGTTCTTAAACTTGAGAAGGTACAAATCCAAATGGTTGATTGGCTTGACCTGCTTGCGTTTAAAGCGATAGAAAAAATCAAGGAGGAAAGCCAAAACAGTGAAAGTTCTTCACATGATGTATATTTGGTCATTGACTTTTGCAGTTTTGAGCATCGAATTGTATTTCAGGAATCGTGAGCGAATTTCTTGTTACCGTCTCCTCCTATAGCTTCAATCAATGAACTGGTTACGGTTTGGGATCCTGAAGTTGGGAAGATCCAACCTTGCGAGCACAAGCAGCTAAAACTTGATAGGAATCTCAACTGCGGCATTATTGATACGGATTTAAAACCAAGTTCTACAGAAAGGAAGTCGATCCAAAGAATACTTAACTACCCACCAACAAGGTCTTTGAGGGGAATGAGAGACAACTCCTTTGGAAATTTCGTTTTTCATTGATGTCTGAGAAGAGAGCCCTTACGAAATTCCTTCGATGCGTTGAATGGAGTGATGTTAAGGAAGCAAAGCAGGCATTGGAATTGATGCAAAAGTAGGAACCAATTGATGTCTGCGATGCACTTGAGCTTCTATCTCCTGTTTTTGAGAAGGAAGAGGTTCGTGCATACGCTGTCGGTGTTCTTGAAAGAGCTGATGATGCAGAGCTTCAATAATGTTACCTACTTCATCTTGTCCAAGCTCTACGGTTTGAGCCCTGCGATAGATCACGGCTTTCTCGATTTCTTGTGCAGCGATCACTGCGCAATGTAGAGCTTGCTAGCTTCCTTCGATGGTATGTATCCGTGGAACTCCATGATCCAGCCCAAGCAAAACGTTTTTACGCTACATATGACCTTTTGGAAGAAAGTATGCTAAAGTTGGGCGCAAATGGTGTGAAGTTGTGGGGAGAGCTTGGTTCGTTAGACTGAATTGACTGCGCAGTTGTGTTCTGTGATGAGAAATGTTAATGAAACAAAGCGTGCAACAGTACAAAAGAAAATTGAAAAATTTAGGCATCTTCTATCTGGTTTGCTTAGTAAGCTTAACTACTTTGATGAGCCAATATCCTCACCGCTAGCTCCCAGGGTCCTTATCACTGGCATAATCCCGTCAGAATCATCAATTTTTAAGAGTTCACTAACTCCCTTCTGACTGGCATGTCGAACTTCAGATGGTAGAATTTGCAATATCATCTTTAAGAAAGGAGTCGATCTTCGGCAAGACTAGTCGGTTATTCAAATGATGATGCTCATGGATCGTTTGCTTAAGCTGGAAAATCTTGATTTGTGTCTTACTCCATACAAGGTACTAGCTACTGGACGTGATGAAGGCATGCTGGAATTTATACCATCCAAATCTTTGGCACAGATTCTCTCAGAATATCGTACGATCATTACCTACCTGCAAAAATCCCATCCATTTGGAATTACTGCAACTTGCCTTGAAACATTCATAAAGAGTTGCGCTGGATACTGTGTCATTACATATATTCTTGGCATAGGAGACAGGCATTTGGACAATCTTCTACTTAGGGATGACGGCCGCATTTTCCATATTGATTTCGGGTTTATTCTTGGTAAGGATCCAAAACCATTCCCACCCCCTATGAAACTCTGTAAGGAGATGGTAGAGGCTATGGGTGGAGCAGAAAGCCAATACTACAGTAGGTTTAAGTCCTACCGTTGTGAAGCATACAATATTCTGCGAAAGTTGAGCAATTTGATATTGAATTTGTTTCACCTAATGGCGGGTTCAAATATAAATGATATAGATCTTGAAAAAGGCATTCTTAAGCTTCAGGAGAAGTTTCGGTTGGACCAGGATGATGCAGAGTGCATCCATTTTTTCCAGGATCTTATCAACGAAAGCGTCAGTGCATCATTCCCTCAAATGGTTGAGACAATGCACCGTTGGGCTCAGTATTGGCGTTGATTTTTAGTTAAATATAGGCCTTCAAGAAATATATACGACTATAGTAAAGACAAAGTGGTCGAGCCATGCTCATGAGTGAATCGATTTTCACTATTTTACGAGCGAAATATATGGGCTTGTTTGGACAATGGTTTGTTTTAGTTTTTTGTTTAGTTTTTGTTTTGAGTTTGAGATGTGATTTAAAATGTGATTTGAAAGAAAATTTAAAAAATTGTTTGGGTAGTATTTTAAATAAAATAATAATATTATTACACCACCATCGGATCACCTCCACTACCGCGGCCGCTGCCGGACCACCCATCACCGCCGCAGAACTGCCGCCGACCGGCTGGCCGGATACCGACCAAATTGCCAGAAACCGACCGGCGGCGGCGATAGGCGGTCCGACGGCGGAGGGTGGCGGCGGCGGCGGTCCGATAGTTGTGGATAAAAATTGTATAAAAATAATGTTTGAAATGAATTTTAAAAAGTAAATTAAAAAGTTGTTTGGGTAGTATTGAGTTTTGTGTTTGAGATGTGTTTTAAGAAGTAAAATGAGACAAAAGGCAAACCAAAAGGTTGGCTAAACAAGACCTATATACTGTATGCGGTAATTTGGATAGTATATATGTAAAAAATCATAACATGATAAGTTTATTTTTCTTGTCATGGATAGAATAAACTATGTTGTTCGGATGATTGACTGTCCCGTGAAACCAATAGTTTTTAGTTTTTAAATATTAAGCTTGTATGGTATTAGTAATATGGTAAATGGAGCCATTGGGATGCAAATTAAAGGCTGAGGTTGTGTTTTGAAGTAATAAATCAATTGTTTTATTTTAATGGAAGTGAATTAAGTGACCAATTTTCTGCATACATAGAACAGCATTATAGCGTGGAAATGTTACGGGTCCTCTTTTTTGTTTTTGATCCGTATGTTTTGAGCATTGTCGTAAATCTGAACAAGAAAACTATTAAAATAAGAGTAATGATAGAGATACTGACTGATTATAGTGAAAAAGGATAGTGACTAATGAAAAGACAAATACACCATCCTCATTAAACATGTGTACTTATTAATTAAGGGTAAAAATATAATTTTTAATGGAAAATAAAATTTTAACGGAAAAATGACAAAAAAATTAAGGGCCAAGAATATTACACATCACTCACTATCTTATTTCACTATTTTTTTTCACTAGATATATCATTTTCCTTAAAATAAACATGTTCTCAGAAGTACTAACAGACTGAAAATGATAACAAAATTAAAACTTGTAGACGTAGAACTTAACCTATAGTAGAGAGCCTTTATAATTCATTAAGAAATTAAAACATGTCATAATTTAGTTACATTTTCAAAAACAAATACATTTTTCCCATTTTTGATATAAAATTTTTCGAAAAATGATATATTTAATGAAAACAAATAGTGAAAAAGAATAGTGATTGATGACATATATTTACGGAAAATATAATTTTTAAGGAAAAATAAAATTTTAAAGGGAAAATGACAAAAAATTAAGGGCCAAGAATATTACACATCACTCACTATCTTTTTTCACTATTTTTTTCGCTAGATATATTATTTTCCTTAAAATAAACATGTCCTCAGAATTACTAACAGACTGAAAATGATAACAAAATTAAAACTTGTAGATGTAGAACTTAACCTATAGTAGAGAGCCTTTAGTGAAAACAAATACATTTTGGTTACATTTTCAAAAACAAATACATTTTTCCCATTTTTGAATATAAAATTTTTCGAAAAATGATATATTTAGTGAAAACAAATAGTGAAAAAGAATAGTGAATGATGACATGTATTAACGGAAAATGATATGTATAGTGAAGAAAATAGAGAAAAAAAAAATAGTGAGTAATGTGGAGTATTTTTGGCCCATAGTTTTTTGTCACTTTCCCGGTAAATTTTATCTTTCCCTGAAAATTATATTTTTACCCTTTATTAATAATTAAACATATTTAGTGAGGATGGTGTATTTGTCTTTTCATTAGTCACTATTCTATTTCACTATAATTTGTCACTGTCTTTATCATTGCTCTATATTAACCCCTCTATTTTTTGGTACTTTCCTGTTAAAAGTTTTATTCTTCCCAAACGTTACACTTGTGCCTCTTACATATCAGTCAGTATGAGTTTTTCACTATTTTTTTTTCACTCTCCCAATCATTGCTGAAATTTTTCATATGTCATACTTCATATATACTTACACACGTATGCTATTCCATGGGATAAAGCAGTATAATATCTTCAGCTCAAATTCCGTAAGTATCACTTTCATTTGTTTTATTTGCGCTCTGGCGGATTATGTGAATCTCTTTGTTCTGAAGAACTGTTTCAGCTTATCGTTCTTTGACCATTGCACCATGCATTTTGGCCAGCAGTTTTTTCCTCGAGTACAAACTTATTTACATTAAGAAGATACATCAGAATATCTAGATATATAGTACATTGGGTGTTTGAGAAAACTTGAGAGTAATTGATTGGAAATTTTTGGGAACAATTACAGGTTGGGATTTCACATGAATTCATTTAGCTACCTTGAGTATTCGATAAGCAAATGAAAATTTGGCTTCAATTATTATTTATTGTTGGCCTAAATGCAAACACAAACTCATCCACCCGTCCAAATGCAGTTATGTCTGTTTGAAGGCCTCCATATATATGGCCAAAATTATTTCAATAATGCCACGAATGGATGGACTGGTGGAAGGCTAGTTACTCAGCTAACCAGCATTCTAGAATAAGTCGATGTCTCCGAGTACTAGCGGTAACCGCGCGCGCGGCCATTTGTATGTTAAGACATTTTCAGATAATGATCAGTATGACATGCATAAAGAAAATTAAGCCAAAGGAAACATCATTTCTATTTCTAATTTGAAAGAAAAAAAAAATTACAAAGCACCATGCCATCAATCTCATGAAATTTTACATCCACATACACTTACATACAGGTGATTCTTTTGAAAATGAGAAAGTGCTCTTCTTTTCTTTTGTTTTCTTCGGCCCATTTAATAATATATATATTAATTCACAAGGCAGATCTAAGATTGAGGGAGAAGTCGTTATCTCCTTCATCACCTTCACTCTCCACCTTACTCAGTATCATTTCAATCTGATCAATGAATCTTTGCATGGCAAACTCCGGCAAGCAAACCGGAACCACCATCCCATTCACCCCTTTGCTATTCTTCTTCGGAATGTAAAACCCAATCACTCCCACCACAGGGTTCATGCTAATCGCTGGTCCGGCAAAAATCGGTTTTCCCCACCCGAAATCCACCTCGTCGAACCCGGACCTCGTCAGATCCGAAACCATGTACGCCGTCGCCAAGTTGACGCTTGGTCTCCCCCTCAAAACGACCAGATCCGCATTGGACTGCATGTACTCCTCCGTAACCTCCGACTTGGCTTTCATCACCAGCTCCGCTGCGTACGCGAGCGGGTTGTTGACGAGTTTCCGTGCGGTGGTCACCGCCGCCGGGGTGGCCAAAACGTTCCCGTAGTACCCTCTAGGAAAAGGTTTGAACTTGGAACGGGCATTGATGATGCAAAGGAGTCTCACTTGCTGGTCCGGTTCGAGTTGAAGTGCCGCGGTCCGGCAGCGCCAGAGGCAAGCGGAGAGGATCTCAAAATTCGAGCACTTGGACCGGAGGTGGGGCGGGAGGGATGACCGGAGGGCGGAGATCTCCGCCTGGCTGAAGAAGAAAGATCGACAAACCATATGTTCAAGTGGAAGTAGGATTGGTTTAGAGGTGTCGGGAATGGGATCGTATTCAGGGTGGGCGCAGGTGATTCTGGGAGGGTCTCTGGCGCGCAGGAGATGTCTCATCCAGACCGGAGTTACCGACGGAGCTGAAGCTCCTCTTGCTATCTCCGCCACGGCACTCATGAATTGCACCATCCCGGCACCGTCAGCCATTGTGTGGTTCAGGATATAGGTCAACACGAAACCACCGCATCGCAGGCGTGTCACCTGTGCCAAACACCCAGTTTCCTGGTCAATATCCAACTACTCCATCCGTCTCAAAATTATTGTTAGTGAAACTCTAAAATGAATAATAATTTTTAGAGGGAAAGAGTATTTAGTTTCTACAAAATGATACTAACAAATAATAAATCAGGTGCTGTGAGAGTGATCCTTTAAGAATGTTGGATTGGGTTTCTTTTCATGAACATGTACATAGGTTTGGGCTCTATAAAAGGAGCAGAGTCGTGTAGTTATGGAAAAATATTTATATTTTACAGGTGGATAGCCAAAGAGTGTAGCATGTAGGCACGATGATAATTGGGAAATACATCATGGGGTACTTCAAGTGAATTATAGTTTTCTGGAAACACTGATTTTCTCATTTCTTCAATAATGACAAAACATGATACCTTTAGATTAAAAACGATTTTGTTTGTAAATCTAAGATTAAGATGAAAGAATTAAATGGAAACAAAGAGGGGATAAATGGCTCTATTATATGTGGTAAATACGTAGTAAGAAACTAAAAATGTTTATCTTGTACCAAAAAGACAAAAAAAAAATGTTTAAACTTTTTGTCCAAATATCGGACTGATGGATTACGTGGCATGGCAAGTAACAAATAGTAAATGGTCAAATAAAGTGCAAAGCTGTATAAATAAATGGTGTCATATCTACGGAGGAACTAAGGAAAAAGTTTGCAAGTAAATGATAGTGGAAAACCTGTATAAAGAGCAAAGGAGAATAAAGGATCCCACAGTTGTCCGGAACATTGAACAACAACTCATCCAAGCCCCGAAATGGTGGCTGAAGCTCTTCCCCGAAGTCGTCCAGTGTCACATCGGCATCCGCCTCCGCGAACAACACACCTTCTCCGGTGCAATCCACCACCAGCTTCCTTCCAGCCTCTTCTCTCAACCTTCCTGCAAATGGATAGTAATATACCAAAGTTTCCGCCAAAGCCGCTTTGATTACCTTAGCAGGGTCATCGTTACCACCACCTACAACTGTTGGTCTTTTTCTGTAAAAATGTATATTGGAAATGTGAAAACGTACGCCATCTTGATCGTCTATGTCAGACAAGGGTTTTGTTTCTATAGGGGTCGGTCTCGCTGGACGAACCAGCTCGTGATTCTTTCTCCTCACAGTGAAACCCTTCAATGGTGATGCTGATCCCATTTTGTTTTCAAATCCTTAAAAATGTAAAGTGTAATGAATTTGCTAAAATGACATGAATTGGGTATTGAAAGAAGGGTCGTCCATTTTTATCCATGCAAGATACGGGGTTGGTGAAGGAAGGAGACGAGTCAGAATAGACATTTCTTGTTTATTTTATATGAATTAGATTGACAATTTGAGAACCAGTCGTACGACTATTGAGAGGAAGTAGCTGTACAAAAAATTTAAAACACAACGCTTGTGTGTTCAAACTGTAAGTTATGAAATACAAGATTTCATAGTAATTATATGCATACTCTTTCATCTACTTTATTGTGATATTAGTCCTTCTGTCCTAGAAACAGAATTCACATTGAATTGAAAGATTTGTACCGAAACTAGTACCCATAAATCTCAAAATCATACGCAGACTGTTTTTCTAAGATGGGGTAGAGTATCTCAACTCAAAAAATTTGCGAACTACTAGAAATTATTGTTTCGATTAAAAAAAAAAAAAGAAGAAATTATTGTAAAAAAGGTTTTCTAGCATAGCCATACGGCATCCAACAACTCCCGGATTTAACTGTATGATTATTTTAATCATGCAATTTGCAGTTCCCTAATTTGTTTTGTCACTTCGGAGTAGGTATTATTACGTTTACAGTAACACTGCAATTTTTTTTGCAGTTTTATTTGTTTAAGTTACTTTGGGTTTACGTATCAAAATTTCATATCTAGTTTGGATAAGCTTACAGCCTACAGCATGAGGAGTAGAAAGTTGGAAGTAAGAAAGCTCCCTCTATGAAATTAATAATAAGTATATTCAGTACTCATCAGCTTCCTAATTTGGTTTCTTTCAAACACAAGTGACAATGGCAACTACATTTTTCTGGCGTTTCTTTACTGTTACTCCTATTAAATTCTAGTACTGGCACATTTGAGAGGGAAGTTGGAAACAAACCAAAAACAATGCATATTGACAATAATATAGATAGTTAGCCATTATAGAACTCAAAATTTGGCACGCCGTAGTGGAGACTTATCCGCCGTTTACAAGGTAGGTGCACTAGGGGAGTACTGGTATATAATAAGAGAATAGATCAGAAATGACATGATTTATCTAAATGTCCTCCTAATTAACTTTAAATAAATAATAAATCCTAAATGAAAACTGTAAAGATAGATATTAGATACATACGTGATTTAATATACATCATTCTTTTTCACTCTTCCTGGTAAATTATAATCCGTATATATCATTATAGTGTAATAAATGACATTATCATAAAGGTATGGTTTAGAAATGGGGGAGGAAAGAGTCGGGGTCGGGGGAGAGATCTAAGGTAAAAAAGATTAATAAAAGACTTTTGAACTGACCAAGAATATATCACATTCAAAAATAAAACTACTATTACCGACGTATATATCAAAATATGTCACACGGGAAATATTCAACTCTCTGTGTGCGTGTGGGTTTAGGGTAGAAAATTCAACTCTCTTATCTTCTGTGAAAAAAAAAACAAATATTTTCCAATATGGTAAAAATGGGGAGAAAAGAAATGGTACAGTGGCTGCAGTGACGGAGTTAGGGGGACGGAGAGGTGCGATCGCACCTGCTCAATTTTTTACAATTAGTAGAGATGTTTTAAATTTTTAATAGAAAATTATATATTTTATAATTTTCGCGCCTCCTACATTAATTTTCTAACTCATTAGTAGGTTTTTTTCTAAATTTCTTTCCCCAATCTAGATTTCCTGACTCCGCCACTGAGTAGCTGCACTAGATATTTATTCTAGAAAATGGGAGGAAAGAGGCGGGGGAGAGAACTAACGTAAAAGAAGATTTATAAAAGACTTTTGAACTTGTCAAGAATATGTCACATTCAAAAGTAAAACTACAATTGCCAATGTATATACCAATACATGATAGATTACGATTTATTATAATTAATTAATCATTAGAGGCTCCTAGCATAATCAAGACCAATTCTTGACCAAAAAAAAAAAAAAAAGACCAATTCGAGCACCTTAATTTCTTGACCAATATGGCTTTTCGTCCAATAATAACCATATACATTCATAACAGATTAGGGTTTAACCCAATCTTATCTTCTGTGAAAAAAACAAATACACACGCACACTGAGAGTTGAATCTTCCAAATACGGTTAAAACTGGCATGAATAGATATCTAAAGATAGAGTAATGGCAACTTATGATTCAAAATTTCAAACTGTTATATAATTTTGAACTAAGCAAAACTAAAGGGTGGTCCACGGAGGTTAGGTTTTCCAAGTTGCATTATGTGCCTCCCGTTTTCTCATTTACACCAGACCCAAACAAAATTATGGTCAATGACAATTTGCAAATTTCGATTTCCGTTGTAGGTAAAGATTGAGACATACGGTAAAAAAAACAATATTGCATTCGTTCTCCCTCTCTTAAAATTATTGTCCAATGTGATATTTTATTTTTAGTATAATTTGAACCAAAAATAAAAATTTAAACTAGAAAATAATTTTGATGGGGAGGAAGTATTATTCTCCATATGATCGATGTCTTTAATATGTTGCGCTACCCTCATTACTTTAACCGTGAAGTTGCTGTTGTTAATTTGATATGAAGCGAGCTAGCTAGTATGAATTGAACTTAATTAATGCTTTGGAGCCGTGGAATCATTTTGAGTGACTTGATACATGCAACAGAGAAAAATCATCTCGACCTAGTTTGAGCTACCTTTAATATCCATAGTTCCCCAAGTTCGAGCCTAACTTTTGAGCATGTATGTATAAAGGCTCCACCCTTTTTATTCATGTGTACGCGATCATTTACATGACCAGCCTTTTTTCTTTTTCTTTTTTTTTTATTTTTTTATTTTCCCCCTTTGTAACCTCTATTGCCTTCGTCTTTAACACTCGTGAAATTTTGCAGTTCTTGCGCGTTTAGAAAGGAATAAGCGTGGAGATATATTCTTGGGTTACATAATGCATGGTTTGGTCATTCATTTTTGAGACACAGAGAGATCAGTAAGGCTATATGTGGTTGTATATATGTTGGACTATATAAAAGGGAAAGGCCTAAAAACAAGTTCAGTCGTAAGCGCGAAAGGAGTTGTGTGATATAAATTGCATGCATACGATTCGGTCCTCTTGCATGCAGTTAATATTATTTATTTAAAGGAACGCATTGAGTGGAATCATATTTTTCTTTGAACAAAGATATATTCACCAAAAAGAAACAATAGTTTTTGCTAAAGCATGAGGAATTTTTGTGCCAACAAATATTTGAGAGTAAATTCGGAAGTTCACAATGCGTGTAGATTAGATCGATCATCAATTATTCTAGCTTAAACAATTTCTTACCAAGAATCACAAACACCAATCAAACATGAATCAAGAATTACAAACAGCCATATGTATATATCTCGATTACAAACAAATGAGGTCTAAGAACTATAGTTTGGAAATGAGTAAATTCTTTAATTCCCTTCTGAGTATCTTTCCCGAAACAGACCTTGGTATTGAATTGATGAAGTACACCTTCCTGACCCTTTTGTAAGGTGTCACCTGCATGCCCAACAAAAATGTGTAAACGAATTAAATATGAGAAAAAGTCTTGGACCGAAATCTAGATTTGTGCTTTTAAAAAAAAAAAAATTAAGATGATAGTCATTTTCATGATTTGTTTAAAAAAAAAAAAAGAAAGGAAAATTTATTAAAAAAAAAAAAAAGAAGATTAATTTTTGTTGAACCTGCTTTGCTACAAAGTCAATCACGGCCGCCTCCGAAACTCCACTAGTGCCATCTTTTCTGACTACAAATGCCACCGGAATCTCACCAGCTTCTTCATCTCTTGCTCTAATGATTGAATTTATATTATAGCAATCACAATAAGCAAACAAAGAAAATATTTTTCATAATGAATGTTATAAGAACTTTCTGATCTCACTTTCTATTACTACTAATACATGTAATACAAAACTCACCCGATTACTGCAGCATCAACAATTTGTGGATGGGACACCAGTACAGATTCCAAATCAGCAGGTGCAATCTACAAAGCACAAATGGAGGGGCTTAAGTACCACAACTCTATACTCTATATATATGGAGCCGGCCGGGGAAATAATGAATCTGACAACAGAACTGAATTGTGTACCTGTAGACCTTTAAATTTGATAATCTCTTTCAATCGATCAACCACATGCAAGTAACCATCTTTATCAAACAACACAATATCACCAGTCCGCAGCCAACCACCTTTTTTTATTGTAGACTTAGTTGCCTCCTCATTATTTAAATATCCTACAATAAACAATAGTGAAATTCTCATGCAATTTTTGTAACTTAACAGGTTTTTGTAATTAAAAGGCAAGAAGATTACCTTTCATGTTACCGGGGGAACGTAGCCAGAGCTCGCCGGCCTTACCGGGAGGTAAAAGTTCACCGGTAGTCCAATCTACGACTTTGGCCTGGACAGAAGGAGCAAGAAGTCCTATAGATTCATACTTGTGAAATTTTGCAGTGTTATAGCCCCGGGTTCCTATTGCAGTTGTCTCTGTCATTCCATATCCCTGCCACCAAACACTTCACATTCATAACAGAATTCTAGATATTTAGCTTATAATACATACTCCTTCCTCCGTCCCATTTTAATAGTCCACGACTTTTATTTTAATAACAAAATAGACTATATACATTAAAGTGGGACAAAGTAAGTAATATATACTCTCTTCCTCCCAAAATTATTGTCCAGTTTAAAATTTCACTTTTAGTACAATTTGAACTAAAAATGAAATCTAAACTGGACAATAATTATGGACAGAGAGAATATAAAGTTTTCACAATACTAAATCAATCTACTCAGTTATATGACCAAATCATTGTGAAGCTTTATTAATTTCACATCAAGGATAGAATGAAATTCATGATTTTTTTTACCTGAATGAAATCCACGTGAGGAAATGTTCGAACAAAATCATGTATGCTGTCTCTAGTCAAAGGGGCAGCACCATTTGCAACCTGCCTTAAACTCTTGAAGCTATAACCAGAAGCATTCTCCTTAGCCAATTTTGTCAATTTCAGCAGTAGAGGAGGAACAAGTGGAAAATGAGTCACACCATATCTATCAATGGCCCTAGCCATTTCATCAGCATCGAATTTCCGGATCACCACAATGCTGGTACCCAATGACAACAATCCCATCACGAAGAGTATAAGTCCATAGACATGGAACATGGGAACACAGGCCAAGTAGACATTACTACTCGGCGAATCGGCGTAAGTGGAGGCTTCGAACCTCACAAACAGGACCACTGACGCTATGAAATTGCGATGACTTAACACTGTACCTTTACAGGCACCAGTTGTGCCTGATGAGTACAGTATCGCCGCAGCATCTTGCTGCCTGATTTTAGGCCTTGGTGCCAAATTGGGATCACTTGAAATCAACTTAAAAAAAGCTGAATCCTTGGATTCAGAAGAAGACATCAAGTGTTCAGTACTGGGAACCCCAATAACAGGAAAGCCTAATGCAGCACTGAGTTCATCAACTCTTTCAGGCAAACAGAAGGCAAAAGACGCTTTACAGTCAAGAACATTCTTTTTAATCTCTAAAAGGGTACTGAGAGGATTAATGGTAGTGGCAACTGCACCAACGGCCAGAATCCCAAGGAAAATGATGGGAAAATGGATGGAATTGGGGACAGAAATCAAGACAACATCGCCCTGAGAAACTCCCATTTGGTGCAAACCACTGGCCATGGATTTGACTAAAGGAAGAATCTTTGAGTAAGATAGAGAGAACCCAGTTGAGGAATCAATAAGGGCGGTGAGGCCATCGTGCTGGTGCGAGAAAAGGAAGGAAACAACGTCCAGAAAAGGGTCGGAAGGAAGGGGAACCGAAGGGTGTTTGCTGCGGTAAATCCCTGTTTCGGGTGAATACCATGGTGGATATGAAGCTTTTTGGTACGAAATTTCAGTAGACATGATTTAATTTTCTGGAATGAGCGAAGAACAGATTTTGAGGATTAAGCAATGAGCACAGAGGAATTGAAGATTACAGGGTCTTTATAATCCGTGACCTTTGTGCTTCAACAGAATAATTAAGACTTAGTGAACAAGATAACTACTCATTAATTTATGAGTACTTGTGGGAAAATTAACTTATTTAGATTTTATTTACTGGGAGATTAAAATTTTAAAATGAAAGTAAAAAAGTAATACTAGTATTAATCTCATAGCAACGGTGATTGAATTTTTAGTACGTTTTATTGGAGAATTGGTTGGTTAATTTTGATTGTGAAAAAGGAAAACAGAATTCCCGGGTTTAGGATTAAGTGATATCGACAATAGTCACAATACAAAACTTTTCATATATACTACTACTTGACAATAGAAAAAATGAGTTTGACTATGACTGAATCTCCCAATACGTTTACAAATTAATCTCGGCGGATCAATATCGGCAATCAAAATTAACGCCGGCCAACCTTTTCTTCTCCCTGCCTGAGTGCCTGATCCTTTGTTTTGTTAATTACTATTTGCCATAATTCATCAATCAAGAAACCAATGTCATACCCTTTTGTACTGTTGACATAACTAATGTTGACATTTTCTAACTTTTCTTCTTTTTTCTTTCTGACTATTTTGTTCCATCAATTAATTCTCTATTTTTATTCTCTTTGAGTTTCAGTTTTGTGGTCGTGATATTATAATGTGGGTAGGCAGCCTCACATATGAATGATTTACGTTCGCGGGTCTAGTTTATTTTATTTTTACGGGAAATATAATAATTGTCACAAATGATACGTTCCTTCTAAACCTAAGCAGAAAAAATTGGTTGTATAATACTCCTTCCGTCCCATAATTATTGTCCAGTTTGAATTTTCATTTCTAGTTCAAATTGTACTAAAAGTGAAATCTCAAACTGGATAATAATTTTGAGACAGAGGGAGTATTCTTTTTATTGTCCAATCGAAACTAGATAGATGCTAATAACATCAATGATTTCGTAGTTCTTATTTTAACATAAAGTAGGACTTTGAAAAGCGAAGTCTTTCTTGAAATCATCAGAAATCATCAAAGATGAAAAGCAGAAACTAGACAAGGTAAAACCAAAATAGAAAGTAGGTAGCTAGGCACGCTCCGGGGAAATAAACGAAAAGGACCACATTCCTAACTCAAAGCTTGATTTTGTCGATTAATTCTAGCTCCTAATTCATTTGGAGCCATGCATCACTTCTCCCCTTCCAATTCTGATCGTAAATGTGCATTATTATTACACAAGTGGTATTTTAAAATCTCATAGATTTCTTATAGTTTTCAGATCTTTGCAAAGACCAAACCTACTTTGTATTTTACGTTTTATTTATTTATTATTATTTTGTTTAGTACTTTTTGAATTACATGAGACCCATTGGTGTCAAATCAGCTTGTTAGTTAATTTGAAATGTTACAACTGATATGAAGTAGTACTGGTCGTGCGTTGCACGCTGTGTTGTAGATCTTATTGTGTATAATTTTTAGTTATATTAATTTATCTAGTAATTGAAACAAAACATACATGCATTTTATATATCCATAAAAAGTCTTACATTTCATATTTATGTTAAAAATTAATTATTTTTAGTTACAATTTCTAAATGATCTCGTTCCAAATTCCAATTCATCTTTTACTAAGCTCTTCCCAAGTGATCTCGCTTATATATTGCAGTACTCTTGAGCATATATAATAAATGAAACAAATCATACATGCATTTTTTATAGTCCTAAAAAATTCATAAATTTTATAATTGAGTGAAAAACTTATTTATTTTTAGTTAAACCTTTCCAAATGATCTCGTTCCAATTCATCTTGTAACAAACTCTTCCCAAGTGATCCCATTTATCGAATTACTATTGATTAAAACTTGTAATGGAAATAGATAATACATTCATTTTATATAACCATAAAAAATCATACATTTTATATTTGTGTTAAAAATTATTTTTTTCTTAGTCAAACTGTTGCAAATGATCCTTTTCTAAATCATATTGTAATAAATTTTTCCCAAGTACCCCGTTTAATTCATCCTATAAGAAACTATTCCCAAGTGACCCCATTTATGGAAGTACTATTGATCATATCTAGTAATCGAAACAAATAATACATGTATTTTATATAGTTATAAAAATCATATATTTGATATAAGTGTTAAAAGTTATTTATTCTGAATTGAACATTCCCAATTGATCTCGTTGTAAGTCATCTTGTAATAATAAACCGTTCTCAACTGACCCCGTTTATTGAAATACTATTGAGCATATAATATTTTTACATTTTTCTACTTAATTACTTCTTTCCCATTTTAAAAATTTTACTAATACCATAACCCACCCTTAGATAGACCCGTTGGGACAAGGTGCCAAAATCTAGATAAAGGATGTAGGAAGTGGTGTAGGATTATACTATAGAAATTTTTTTGTCTTATAATAAACCCTTTCCAACTGACCCCGTTTCTTGAAGTATCATTGAGAATATTTAGTAATTAAAACAAATCATACACGCATTTCATATAGCCATAAAATCATATATTTTATATTTGTGTTCAAAATTAATATTTTAGTTGGACCTTTCCAAATCATTCCGTTCCAATTCATCTTGTAATAAGCCCTCCCCAAATGACTTTTTTTTAGTGAAGTATGATTAAGCATCTAGTAATTGAAACAAATCGTATATGTGTTTATATAGTCGTAAAAAGTCGTACATTGTATATTTGTGTAAAAAAAATATATTTAATTTTAGTTAGACATTTCCAAAAGGTTTCGTTCCAATTCTTCTTATAATAAACCCCTTCTAAGTAACTCCGTTTAGTGACATACTATTGTGTATATCTCGTACTTGAAATCAATCATACATTCATTTTTTATAACAATGAAAAAATCTTAAATTTTATATTTGTTTTAAAAAATTTTATTTTTATTTAGACCTTTCCAAATCATACCGTCCCAATTTATTTTATAATAAACTCTTCCCAAGTGACCTCATTTATTAAAACACCATTGAGAATATCTCGTAATTAAAACAAATTATAATGCATTTTAAATAGCCATAAAAAATCATTCATTTTATATTTGTGTTAAATTTTTTTTTTTTGACATTTCCTAATGATCTCATTCCAAGTCATCTTATAATAAACCGTTCTCAACTGACCTGATTTATTGAAGTACTATTGACCCTATAATATTTTTATATTTTTCTACTTAATTATTTCTTTCTGTTTATAAAAATTTTACTAACACCCTAACCTGCCCTCGAATAAACCCGTTGGGTTCGGTGCCAAAATCTTGGTAAAGGATGTAGGAAGTGGTGTAGAATTATAGTGTAGAAAAGTTTTTGCCTTGTAATAAACCCTGTCCAACTGACCCCGTTTCTTGAAATATTATTGAGAATATTTAGTAATTAAAACAAATTACACACGCATTTCATATAGCCATAAAATCATATATTTTGTATTTGTGTTAAAATTAATATTTTAATTGGACCTTTTCAAATAATCCCATTCCAATTCATCTTGTAATAAGCCCTCCCCAAATGACTTTTTTTTTTTTATTGAAGCACAGTTAAGCATCTAGTAATTAAAACAAATTATATATGTATTTATATAGCCATAAAAAGTCGTACATTTTATATTTGTGTAAAAAAATATTTAATTTTAGTTAAACATTTCCGAAAGATCCCGTTCCAATTTTTCTTATAATAAATCCTTTCTAAGTGACCCCGCTTATTGACATACTCTTGTGTATATCTCGTACTTGAAACCAATCATACATTCATTTTTTATAACAATGAAAAATCATACATTTTATATTTGTTTGAAAAAAAATATTTTTATTTGTACCTTTCCAAATCATATCGTCCCAATTCATCTTATATTAAATTCTTACCAAGTGACCTTATTTATTGAAACACTATTGAAAATATCTTGTAATTAAAAAATAATATATGCATTTTAAATAGTCATAAAAAACCATACATTTTATTTTATTTTTTTTTGTTCGACCTTTTCCAATGATCCCGTTCTAATTTATCTTGTAATAAACTCTTATAAAATGACCCATTTATTGAAGCACTATTGAGTATATCTAGTAACTGAAATAAATGATACATGTGTTTTATATAGTCATAAAAAGTCACACTTTCATAGTTTTATTAAAAATTATTTAAGTTTAATTAGACATTTACAATTGATCCCATTCAAAGTCATCTTGTAATAAATATCTTTTTAAGTGACCCCATTTATTAAAGTAGTATTGACCATACAATTGTTTTTTATATTTTTCTATTTAGTTACTTCTTTCTTTTTTAAAAACTTTTACCAACAACCTAACCTACTCTTGATGAACCCATTGGGGCCACGTGTCAAAATCTTGGTAAACAATGTAGGAAATGGTGTAGGATTATTGTGTAGGAGATCTTTTGCCTTGTAATTAAACCCTTCCCAACTGACCATATTTACTGAAATATTATTAAGAATATTTAGTAATGTAAACAAATCATACAAATATTTTATATAGTCATAAAAATCATTATACATGTATTGAAGTACTATTAAGCATCTAGTGATTAAAACAAATTATACATGTATTTTATATAGCCATAAAAAATCGTTTTTTTTATATTTGTCTTAAAAAAAAATTTAGATCGATCTTTCCAAAAGATTCCGTTCTAGTTCATCTTGTAATATACTCTTCCAAAGTGACCTCGTTTATTGAAATACTATTGAGTATATCTAATAATTGAAACAAATGATACATGTATTTTATATAGTCATAAAAAAAACATACATTTAATATTTGTGTTAAAAATTATTTATTTTTATTTAGGTCTTTCCAATTGATCTCGTTCCAAGTCATCTTATAATAAACCATTCTCAAGTGACCCGTTTATTGAAGTATTATTGACCATATAATATTTTTAGATTTTTTTATTTAACAACTTATTTCCTTTGTGAAAAATTTACTAACACCCTAAACCCACCCTTGAATGAATTCGTCGGGGTCACGTGTCAAAAACTTTGTAAAGGATGTAAGAAGTGGTGTAAGAAATTTTTTTCCTTGTAATAGACTTTAATAAAATGTTAGTTGATCTATTTTAATAGACTTTTTTTAGAGAATATTTTTTTAAAAAAATATTAGCAATAATTATATAAAAATAACTCCAATGGAGGTGCGACTCAAAAGAATACAAACCATTTCGAAAGCTTTTCTTTGTCGGAGTTGGCATCGTCGATTTTCATAAAATATACAAAGACATAACTTTGTGCCGAATTGCCAATCCAGAGATTATTCGAAAGTGGCGCATTTGATTACGCAAGTTTGTAACTTTGTTCATGTTCAAAAGATCAAAACCCTATAAGAAAAAAAGAATAAAAATCTCAAATTTACAAAGAAGTGAAGTAATATTTTACATGATTACCATTTTTTGTATTAGAATTTTTTTTGTTGAAGCTAAATATATTTTTATATTATAAAGGCTGAAGCATATTGTTGATCGC